CAAGATATCCGGGCATTGGGAATGTCAGGTCCTGGACCACAGGACATGGGAGGTTGGAGAGCATGCTGCACTTCAAGCTCTTGACGATGTAACCACTGCCCCGTAGTCAGATTTCTCCCCACGGCCCAGGAAATACAACCATATGGGCAGCGCTTCCCAGCCACGAGTTTTCGGATCCCAAGGAATAATCTCACCTGGAACCAAGGAGCCAGAAGTGTCTCCGATGGTTGGCATCCGAGGCAGGTTCCTTCACCCCCGTGAGCACATGCACTTAGTAGGGACACAGTCCCATTAAACTCAGTGCAGCTGAGCATGCAGGCGCCTCTGTCTTGGGTGCCTGATTCGTCAGGGCCTCAACACCCCTGTGTGCTGTTCAGGAACCGTAGCTCCATCGGTTGTGGGCATTCTTGCCCCCCAGGCTCAGGGAGCCTCCTGGCTTATGCTTCACGGTGATAGGAAAGCTCCTGGGGAATTCTATGACCTCAGTTTTCTTGCCTCTCATTCTTGGCTTCATTTCAGAGTCTCTGTCAGCAGGCCCGGTGGCGTGTGCCTCCCAGGGGAAGGTGCCATCTACCTCCCACTCAGACATTCTCCATGCGGTTCCGCATCCCCATCTCCACCTAAACCTTCCCGCACGTCCATGGACACAGCTAGAGGCCACCTGTGTCTTTCCTGGTTCCCACCTCCACTTCCTGGGAGCCGGGTCTGACTTTTCAGGCGCGTGATGCCTGAGCTAGGTCTGCTATTAGCGAGGCCAGATGGGAAGAGGCCAAGTGCTCCAGGCAGACGCCGGGCTCGGCCCGGAGAGGTGGTGATTGGCAGGAGGACGCTGAGCCTGAGCAGCAGCCGCAGCAGGGAGGCAGACTGTGGTGTCCAACAGGTCCTTCCGGCAACAAACAGGTGGAGCTGCTGCAGGGCCATGGGAAGGGTGAGGCAGGCAGTGCACAGAAGTGGTTGAGTGATGGTGCACACGACACGGGGTCTTATGTTATTGAAGCTCTGTGTGGGCTATTCATACACCTGCCACCTTCTCCTTGAACTTGACCTTGAGCCATAGCCTTAGCCTAGTACACAGGAAAGGAGTCCTGGCCACCAGCACACTTGGACTTGAGCCTCATGTGTTCTCCTGGCCAGGGAAAGCTCCCCATTATACAGAGTGTATCATGGGATGGAAGCTGTAGAAGGTCCATGTGTCACGCAGCCCCTACATAGGGAGCGGGAACAAACCCAGATGCTCCCAGTTAGAGAGATGGCTTACCAGAGGCGAGGCCTAAGGACATCCGACCAGGCAATGGCCATTTCCTCTTCCTCTGGCTGCTCGTGACTCATGTGCTCTCTCCACAGGCCCAGGCGCCGTCAGCGAGGTGAGCAACGGGACGCCGAGGAGGGCAGGCTGCCTTTGGCTGCTACCTCTCCTGGTCTTCCTCCTGCGCCAGTTTTGATGTGAGTGCCACGCCCGCACCAGGGAAGCTGCCGCCACTGCAACCACCAACCCTCCAGCAAAGGCACCTCCGACAGCAAGAGCAAACCCCTTTCCAACTAAGATGTAATCAAACGCCATTCCGAGACACAGACGATTGGGACACACATTCGAGGGAGGGGAACAAAGAACACTTTGGGAAAACACGTTTCAAAAGGAAATCGAAAAATCGATCGCCTTGCAGGCCGGGCAGATATGTAGGTACAGCTGAGTTTTCTTTCTTTTCCCACATGGGAGGAGCGCACCCCTGGCTTTGGATACCCGCCCGCCAGCTGCATTGTTTCCGGGGTGGAGGAGGGCTCAGCCGCTCTGCCCACTCCAGGGCCCCTGCCAAGGAAAATTCTGGAGTCGGCCGTCCCCAAATTCAATCCGTCACTAGAAGCGAACACAGAGTGAGGCGTGCGCCCCCATGTGCCGCGGGGTCACCCCCGCTGTAGACTGTGCCACTGTCGTGTGTGCTATGAAACGCAAATTTAAAAAGCAAATCAATAAAAAGGAACCTAAACAAAACAGCCTGATGGCGACCAACCCCCACAGTCAGCAGTCACACAGGCCCCGTTCACCTCTGTGTTCCCCTCACTACATGGGCATCGTGGATCATAAGGGATTCTGGTTCACTGTTAATTCTATTTTCTGACGTGAGTCTAGGACTTAGCTGGAAAACAAGGCAACACTAAACACCACACACACATGAAAGGGGTGACGAGAAGTATGTTTGTTAAAAAAAGATGAAAATGAATAGTGCACTTCTTAACTAGGTTTACAACCGGTGGACCCCACGCCGGGCATTAACCGCCCGGTGAGGATTTGGCGAATCCACCAAAACAAAACACACACACACATATGATTTAACCAACACGTCCACCAGCGCTACAGCTTTCTCCTCATCCTGGCATTTAATGCAGACACGACTATGCTTCTCCGTGCTGTTTAGAAGTGGAAGGGGGGTCTGCACCCGACCTTGCGTTTGTTGGCTCTGCTTCTTTTGATGACATATATTATACAGTATATATATACATATATATACATATATTTTTTTTGTTAAGAGTTCTAGCCCTTTTCTTTCTCAGCAGGTCCGTTCTCAGACATTACTGCATGCTGTATATGGCGTTAGCTGTGTGTTGACCTTCTAAAAGATGATAGAGTTTACTGGTACTTGTGTAATCAGCTCCTGCCTCTATTTTTTTCTTTTTTTCTTCTTTTTTTTTGCGCGCGTTATCCACATGTCAGAGACATTTATACGCAGTGAAACGAGAAAACGACACTAACACCAGGCACAGCCTCTGTTCCAGGTGTGGCTCCCGGAGGGGGTCCGCCCAGGCGCCGCCCCCTCCACCCCGCACAAACACGCCACCGAACCAGCTAAACAGCCAGTAACCACTCGCTCGAGCCCTATGGGAATCTCTGATGCCTTTGTGACCACTGGAGAATTGAACCCTCTTGGTTTCTTTTATTTAATGTCCCACCTGTGTGTGCGTGTGTATGAAAGAGAAGAAAATGCAGTTTTTAGATAATCTTTTTTCCTCCCCCCGGAGTCTGGGGACCAGAGAGGCCTCGGGGAGGGGTCCTGGGTGTGATGAGGGAAAGTGGGATTGGGGTTCGGGGAGGGAGGGGTTGTCTCTGACTTGACATTAAAAAGTGTTCCATGTCCCTCTTCACCTGGTGTGGTGCCTCATTCTGAAGTGGGGGGGGGGGATGAGGGGGGAGGGAGCAGAGCCTGGCTGGCTCCAATGTGAAGGACACCGAGGGGGCGGGCTCCTGACTCAAGCAACTGCTCTTTCAGCCCCTCATTGGCGGGAGCTGGGCTCTTTCTGTGGTCTGTGCTCGGGTGACAGGACAGTCAGAAACCCCTTGTCCTCCTAACAGAAGCAAGGGGGCAGGGACTCACAGGGCTGTGTCTCCAGTGCTGGCTGAGGCTGGCCGCACCCTGCTTGTGCCCAAGCAGCTCACCTCCTAACCTGGGCAACATGTCAATCAAGTTAAGACAGGCTTTTCTGTGAGAGTATTTCGAGGAGGCAGCCCAGGGCGGCTAGCACGGAAAAGAAAAGAAGGAAAAAAGAGGAAAGGAAAGGAACTTGAAACAGTGTGGCTTGATATTAAATAATCCCAATTCCCATCAACTGATGTTTAGGGGACTCTTCCCCCAAGGCCTGCTCTCCAAAGCTCGCCTCTAGTCACAAATTAAGAGGAAAAGTCAATTTTAATACAAAATAATATTCAAATCATTCTAAGCTGCTCTGATTCTGGGAATTAAATTGGGGCTGAGACTCACCGAGAGGCGGAAACCAGGCCAGAGCTGAGACGCACAGGATTCCTGTACCTGAGTCCTCAGGGGTCAGTCCAGCTGAGCGGAGTAGGGCATGTCGGCAAAGGAGGCGATTCATTTCCGGTGGCTGCTAGAAAAAAATGAGAAAGGGTTGTTGGCTTCATGGCCTGCCCTTCTCTCCCCACCCCCAGGTGTCAGACACAACAACTGCTTCCTGGCAAAATTGTCAGGGACAGGGTGGCCAAGCCTTGCAGATTTAGGCTGAATTGGTTCTAGAACAGCCGAAGCCAAGGGCTTGGGGACTGTGCCCTTCCAATGAGAGTGGGTGGGTAAGACTCGCTAGGCCTCTTATGCCTGGAACTTCTGCAGACGCCCATTGGAGGGTCTGGATGCCCAGCATGGTTCCTGGACCAGAGAGGGAAACACAGGTAGTTCCCATGTTGCTGCACTGGAGCCCGGAAGCACCTCTGCATAAAACACACCAAGGCATCTGCACAGAGAGGCTTCCCAGACTTTGCTGGGAAAAGAGAGTACAGCGGCACATGGCCTCCATTTGAATCAAAACTTTAACGACTAAACTTCCTTTGACCACTCCGTCACCGTCCTCCCAGGAGTCATTTTTAAAGGGACTATGTCAACTTTGTAAAGTGCCACTCATGAGGAAGACTTCACTTGACCTGTCTGCAACTTCATTCCCCTTCCTGTCTGTGGTTCCTTAGGCCTCTGTTTCATGGAGAGCATGTCCCTGGTAGACCCAGCTTTGCCCTAACTGATGGCTTCAGCAGCTAGAACTTCCTAATCTGCCTCAAGGGGGGGGGGGGTATTAAAATAGTTAGGGTTTGAACAGCCCCCAACTCCCGCGCCCATCCACACACAACACACATCATCTGCTGGAGTGGGAGCCCCCATCTGCTGAATTTATATATATATATATATATATATATATATATATATATATATATATATATATATATATTGATTTTTACAGAGAGGAAGAGAGAGGGATAGAGAGTTAGAAACATTGATCAGCTGCTTCCTGCACACCTCCTACTGGGGATGTGCCCACAACCAAGGTACATGCTCTTGACTGGAATCAAACCTGGGACCTTTCACTCCACAGGCCAATGCTCTATCCACTGAGCAATACTGGCTAGGGCTGAATTTTAGTCTTTAAAGAAAGCTTCAGGTGCCCATGAGCAAGGACCCTCAGCCAGACTCATTGTTTAATCCAGGAGGACATGGCTTTGAGAGAGCTGGTGGGGACAATCCCAGGCCTATCTGACCTCAGGAAACAGGAGCATGGCAAACAGTGTTCATTCACATAAGTAGAGAAAAACATGTTGAATACTGCATGCAGTTACGTTTCTTTGTACAAGCACTAATGGAGTCCACTACGACAGGCTGGCCTGGATGTCAAGTGCACAAGATCACTGTAGACTCAGACATACTTCACTATCATACTTTGGGATTCATCCACTACCCCTAACAGTAGGATGGCCCCTTGAGGGGATCATGGTTTAGGTTTGGCAGATTTTCCCATGATAGTCTTTCATATGTGTGTGTGGAGGGGCGAGTGTGGGATATGCAAGCCCTAACTCAGTGATGGCGAACCTATGACACGTGTCAGAGGTGACACGCGAACTCATTTTTTTGGTTGATTTTTCTTTGTTAAATGGCATTTAAATATATAAAATAAATATCAAAAATATACACCTTTGTTTTACTATGGTTGCAAATATAAAAAATTTCTATATGTGACACGGCACCAGAGTTAAGTTAGGGTTTTTCAAAATGCTGACACGCCGAGCTCAAAAGGTTCGCCATCACTGCCCTAACTAGTCTAATTACTCCTGTAGAATCCCATGTATCTTCTTCCAACAGAATATCTGCTCCTCTCCAGCCGCACAGATGTGCAGCAGCTCCCAAGTGTTTGCAGTTAAAGGGGTTCAAATGCCTAACTTGGGGCATCATGAGTGCTGATCCAAGGACTGTTTTGATGAGTGGGACTTACAACCTTGGAGCAGTAGTCATAGTCAGTGACCCAGGAATGTTCGTTTTTCTTATTGTAGGTATTGATGGTGATGAGGAATGACAGTTACTGTTATTCAAGCTGGAAGTAAGTTAGCCAATGGATTGACAGTTAAGTCTGATTGAGGTTAACACATTTCGTTGGATTCCCCATCTTTATCTTATACTCTTGACCCACGAGCTTAGAAGGAAAGAACATCACGCTCGTCAGTCACAGGACTGACCCCTTCAATGGGTAGATTTGATAAAAATAGAAAATTAAAATCAGAAAAACATCCATACATTTCTATTCTTATCATGGCAACTTTTTGAAGGACTTCTCACCAGAAGAGAAAAAGCTATATGAAAGGAGACATGTGGTAAACTAGATAGTCTTTGCTAATGGTGAGCCTACGTGCTCCTATGTCACTATTGGCCAGATGTACATGCACACACCAGCCATTCAGCCTCCATTCAAGCAACGTAAAGATTTAGAATTAGTGGTGTCTGAGAGAGGCACTAAATAATAACTCTTTCTGGCATTTTTTTAACCAAATCTCAGAAATAATTTTGAATTTAATTGTGTAGTAGTGCCTCCTTTGTCATCCCATAACTGCTCAATCAAGCCCTTCTGAAGCCTTAATTCTTATCTCTCTCTGCTCTTAATTCAAAGCCGATTTCCACGAGTGTCCAAATCTATCTGCCTCCAAGGCAATAAACTCAAATTAATATTCCCATGATTTGAGTAACTAAGATCTCTGAGTCTGTGTCTTCATTTTTTTTTTCCTGTCTCCCGCAACTCCATATCTTTCACAACATGTCCTTATCATGTGACTAGAACAACAGGGCTTTGTTTAGAAATCACTCCTAATTCCTGAGCTCAAGTTAAGATCATTTCTTTTTTTCTTTTTTAAATCCTCACCCAAGGATATTTTTTTCCTTTGATTTTCAGTATAGAAGGGGTTGGGGAGGGGGCAGAGAGAGAAACATAGATGTAAGAGAGACACATCGGTTGGCTGCCTCCTGCACTCAGGGATCAAACCCACAATCAAGGTACTTGTCCTTGACCCAGAATCAAAACCTCGACCCTTCAGTCCATGGGCTGATTATCTAACCACTGAGCCAAACCAGTCAGGGCAAGTTAAGATCATTCTTAAAATTTATGTCTGATGCATTACATTTTATTTTATTATTTTTAAAATATATTTTATTGATTTTTTTAAAGAGAGGAAGGGAGAGGGATAGAGAGTTAGAAACATTGATGAGAGAGAAACATCGATCAGCTGCCTCCTGCACACTCCCCACTGGGGATGTGCCCGCAACCAAGATACATGCCCTTGACCAGAATCGAACCTGGGACCCTTCAGTCCGCGCACTGAGCCAAACTGGTTAGGGCTGATGCATTATATTTTATAAAGGAGTCTTGGTTTGGCTTTAGATACTTTTTTGTTGTTGTTTTTATCCTCACCCAAGGATATATTTTCATTGATTTTTAGAGAGAGGGGGAGGGAATCCTGTTTTCTTTAGTCACATTTTCTATACATTTTCTTTAATCTCTTTTTCTCTTCCTCATTCACTTTCTCCAGTGCAGCCTACCTTTCCACTCACAATCGAAGAAGCAAGATATCCAAGAACCAATTTGAAAAAAAAAATCAACACAGTTTCACAAGGTTGTTTTAAACCCCTTTGTTTACACCAGGCACTTAGAGAGTAACATTATGATTTAGAGCAGTGGTTCTCAACCTTCCTCTTAATGCCGCGACCCTTTAATACAGTTCCTCATGTTGTGGTTACCCCCAATTTCATTGTTACAAATTGAACATAATGAAAGCATAGTGATTAATCACAAAAACAATATGTAATTATATATGTGTTTTCCGATGGTCTTAGGCGACCCCTGTGAAAGGGTAGCTCGACCCCCCAAAGGGGTCGCGACCCACAGGATGAGAACTGCTGATTTAGAGGAAAGCAATTTGATCTGGTTGGGCTGTACCCTGGAATATCCATTATTGATTCCTTGAGTTAGATATACACTGCCCTAAACTACACATCAGCGCAGATAATTTTCAAGGGCTTAGTTGACATCTGAGGCAGTTCTATGCTATATGTTGCATCAACAGATGCAAGCAACTAGGTTAACTTAGGACAGTTGGCTGAACTCTGGTACATTCTTCAGCTTTGGGCATCTGGTGCATAACCCGATTAGCCACATGAGCAGAGTAATTAACAAAGAAGCCCTAGGTTCCATTCCTTCAAGAGTTCCTTGAGGAGTGATGTCAGCAACACGACTGATCAGATGTCCATGTCTTACGTAAACCCCTTCAACAACATTCAGCCTCATCCATAGACAAAAAAGTACCTTTGTGGTTCTGTGCAACCCAGAAC